CTAAGTCAATGAGTGAGCAATACAACATGGGCAGACTTGCTGCCATGCCTTCCACCCTGATAATTAGACAGCCATTTTTAATCATCTAAATGAAGTGCCAGAGAAGGAGGGAAGGAGGGTGCAGTGCTGACATGAATCGCCTAAGTCCCCAGCCCCAGCCTCCTCCCCTTCCTGTCCCTGGAACACCCTTTTTTATGCCCTTGGGGGTGTATTTGTGATCTCAGGGGAGGCAGCTGGTGTGGTTCTTTCCGTGCTGGTTGCAAAAGAGGCAAAGACTCAGACTTTGGAGTCCCAGCTCCAAAGTGCAGGATGTAGAAGTGGAACTACCACTCACAATGTCACCAAACCAGTAACAAACCAACATAATGTACATCAGTACTTTTCTGCAAAATGTGAAGGAAATGTGATATACTGAGCCACAACTTGGAGAAAAAAGAATAGATGTGCACCTTCTCAACCTTTTTGATCTGCTTCACACATGGCGGTATTTAAGAGAGCAGTCTGAAATTTTAGCAGTATAGATGTTTAGAAGTTTAGAAGTGTAGCAGAGCATGAATGCCAAAATTCAGTCATTAACTCACCTAAGGAGTACAAAGTTGAGGCTTACAATGGAGGAACCTTTTGTGTGGGTGTGTGCCTCACATGGCCATTCAATAGCATTTACTAAAAAATGGTAAGAATCGTGTTTTGACATTCTGCACTCGTCACCTTTACCCAGAAGGCCGAACGATCTGCCACCCTAAGCAACCCGTGCCACCACGCGCGTCCCTCCTCAACCGTGACCAATCCTTTGCAGGAGCCCTATAGAGGGAGGGCCACTTTGGAGGGAATGATGTGCCCTCAGGCGTTTGGATGATTTTTACCAACAGCCTGCAGTGTGCCCATGTTTTGTTCATCTGCATTCAAATGGATAAACTAGCTGAAGTGTCTGGATTTCTATTTCATCTTCCAACACAGAGCATTTGGTCCAATAGTATCAAGACAGAAAGGCAAGTTAAGACATGAGTTTCCACAGGAGGAAATACAGAAGGCCGCTGATCCCAGCCATTGCTGCAGCTGCCAACAGGCGCACCAGAACGAAGTCCAAGGAGTCCTCCGGTGCAGCATGCAGCTTCAGGACCTGCCTTCTCATGGCTTCCGTGTCTCCCGAGCTGTCGATGACGTGGTCGGCCAGCTCGACTTTCTGGGAGAGGGGCAGCTGGGCAGCAAGGCATGCTTGTGCCTCTGTCGGAGTCAGCCCATCCCTGCTCATCAGACGTTTGTTTGTGGGTTTGTGCGTCACTGACTGAGAAAGGAAGACTAGTTCCGCTCAAGAAGAAAATGGGAACAGTCAGCTGATTTGCTTGTGTCTCTCTGCCCATCCAGCCATGCCGTTCCTAACACGCTCTCACTCTCGCACTCTAGCATGACCAAGGAATGGAGCTTGGTGTGGCTATATATAGGCGAGCTGGGTAGGACTGTGCAGAAGAGAGTGGACTCGGTTGTCAGGGCTCCTGCTAAGGCGAGAGGGGACCACTGGCTGCAACCAGCAAAGCTGCACAGAAGGGAGACAAGACATACTCGCTCCCCCTCCAGCAACTGACTCGGGCAGGGAGCAGTGCTACTCCCTTCAAGTCAGCAGGCCTTGAACTGACAAGCTGAGCCATGCCAGGAGAGGAGGGGCATGTCCGTCGTTGGCATCACCTGGCAGGACAGGAGGCCAAAATTCAGATGTACTAAAAGCAACAACAAAGTCAGAGCATGGCTATCAGGATGTTTGCGATGGCCCAATGAATATTTGACCATGTAGAAATTCATTAAGCCCATTCCTGTTTACACCGTGGTTTAAGGGCAGTACTGAAGTGCCCATGCTGAAAAGCCTTGCCTCTCAAGTGGGACAATCCTTAAAATCCATTGGAAAACAGTGAGATCCTAGGAACAGATAGCAAAGGCACACAAAAGTACAGAAAATGCGGCTCGTTCAGAACAGTTTTGGGGCATGTTCAAGCAAAGCCCTAAACCCCTAGGGAATTTTATATACACTGTGGTTAAAATTCCCAAGGAGTTCTCCCATGCCTGAAGGACAGGAAGGGATGTGGTGCTGGCACTGGCCTTCCGAGGCCGTGGCCAAGCACCTCATGCGCCTCTGACCTGGCCCAGGGGCCCGTGGCTCCAACAGGTAAATGAAAGGGAGGAGACACCTCTTGCCACATGCCTCCTCTCCTTGGTGGCGGGTGAACAGGGCAGGGGTGCCAAGCCATTCTCCTTGCCTTCCTCTGGAGCGGAGCAGCCTGTGCTTGCCTGCTGCGGCTGCAGTGGCGTAGGCTTGATCCAGCCTCATGGGCTTGGCTTCTCCTTGATGAAGCCAAGCCAAGTGGCCCATCCTGCATCTCCCGAACCCCCAATCAGGTGCCAAATGGCAGAGCCTGGCTGCTCCCCCCCGTGCTCCTGTCGACACCAAGAGCACCCCGCCTTAGAAGAAGCACAGGGAGAAGCTGATGACAGCCACACGAAGCGTTGCTTGAGCACTGCGCCAGCTGCCATCACCTACAGCCCTTGGGTCAGAATGGCCCCTTCTTTTCTGCCATTTTTGCCAAGGATCTCTACAGCTTTTGGCTTGACTGTGGCATAGCTCTCCTCCAGGTCTGGATGGCAGCCTAAACCACAGTGAGTTTAATCAGCCTTCCCATAAGCCATGGCTGGGGTGCTGCATATGCCACCCCAAAGTGGCTTAGAAACCATTCCTTGGGCAGCATGGGATGGAAGGCAATATGTTAAGCCTCCTCTGGCTTAACATGTTGTATGAATCTAGTCCTTGTCATTCAGAGTCCTGAGGGTAAGGAGGGAGCCAAGTGAAACCCTTCATTTCCGTAAGGGTGTATTCTGAGGCTTGCAAGTCTGGGGGCAGCAGGACCTCAACCCATTTCATACTGAGTCCATTCCGAAGGGCAAGTATTTCTGTAGATATCTGGGGACTGCAACCAATCTCAGTGGGTTTATTGTGTTTGATTTATTATTCAGAAGATACGTATTCTCCTGGGTCTACTGGGAAGGAAACAATGCATTCCAATGGCTATGCTCAGCCATTTGTTCCAACCAATACATCCAGCAGTGCAATGTTCTTCCAAGCAGTGCACTTACCAGTACACGAAAACTGTGTATCTCATGAACCTAGTCAGGGTGTTGGTCTCAAAGAGGAGGGGCATATCCAGGATCACATACTGGTAGCCTGCAAAAGAAAGTGAATTTTCTGCTGGAAACGCCAAACATTTCCCCTCCAAACTCCCTTAAATGTCGTGCATAAAGCACTGCTAATGCATGCTACTAAAGAATTTGCACAAACTAGAGCATTAAATTTGGGTCAGGATGCATATGTTAATAAGGCACAGAGTAGTTGCTTTTTCTTTCAAGAGAACTGTCTTCTCCTTCAGTGTTTTATGGCAAACTCCTTCTGAAACTGAGGAAACTTTCAGCATTATACTTCAAAGGGAAGGAAAAGAATCCCACAGTTAAAGTAGCTTCTTGGATTCTCTGACCTTGAATTAGTTTGTTTCTGCACCCCCTTTCCCTGCAGAATTCTTCAGTCTGCATTTGAAAATGATATATCTCTGTGCAAGAGATAGCCAGCAGGGTTTGATCCCACAATCCAATACACATTCACTAGGGAGTATATCCCTTTAAGTGCAATGCAATTTCTTCCCAGGAAACTTGGTTTAGAACTGCATCCAAAAATATAACATGACCTCTGCTGGAATTGTTCCCATGGGTTCTGACATTCAATTTTGCCCCCTAAACATCCGATGCCAGTCCCTAAGAACATTGTCATCTCTTCTTGTACAGGGTAGAATACTTGAATCTGCACAATTTTATTGTTGTATTGAATGATACATTTATTTCTGACTCCTGGCTTTAGAAAGAGCTAAATTTTTCCTGCACTCCGGCCCACAACTCATTCTCAATGCCCGATTTATGCTAGGCAGAAGGCATGCCCTCAAGCACACGCCAAGTGCCTTCTCCTTGCCACTGATCAACGTGTGGACAGAGCACCCAGCACATCTCATTTATTTCATGTTTATGCCACTCAATAGCTGAAGCTCCCTGGGCAGTTAACAAAAGTTACAATTAAATCTTCGATTGCACAATATACTGTAGACAACATGGAATAATTAAGCTACACTCGAATGGAAAGCTAGAAATTACAGCTGAGAAATGACAGATAGACGCATATAGGAGGCACACAAATCTATCTCTAATCCCACATGTATGTGCACCACCTGCAGCAGTACCAGTGTGGAAAGATTTACGTTGCTCAGACTGCAAGGGGCTTGAAAAGGAAGAGAACCATAGAATAGTAGAGCTGGAAGGGGCCAAGAAGGCCATCGAGTCCAACAGCAGCTCATACCAGCACCCAGTTTTGGAGAGCCCTTCGGACCACCACTGTCACTACTGCCATTGCTCCCCATCCTTTCTCCTGATTGCCGCCACTTGCTTCCTTGATAGGCAGACAGCCAGAGCACACAGGCAGTGGCTTCTACGGTTCGTCTCAGTCTCACAGTTGTCTGGGCCAGAGCAAGAGTCAAGCAAGCTTCTATGCTGAGGAGCAGTAATTCTGGCTGGTTCTTGTCAGTCGGCCATGATGGAGCCAACCATGCCTACCCTCGGTGCAATCATAAGCACTTTGGCCTGTTTTCCCCTTGTTGTGGACATACATGTGAAATTTTTCTCTCACAACACAGGATGCTTTGGACTCGTGAAGAATTAATATCCAGTTTGCCATCCACTTAGCTCCAAGTCCAGCACCTGCTAAAGATTTTGTCTGGATTTTGTCTTGATAGCAATGATCTGCTGGCATTAAAGGCTTCAAAACAGAGGAATCTCACAATAGGAATCAGGACAGGATCATGTCCTGTATTAGTCAATCTTTATGGAAAATGGTATGTCTCATTGTTTGTTTGCACAATGTTGAGAGTGCTGGTTACTTTTTATGGGCTGTTTCACTGTGTTGTATTGTTTAATGGTATGTTATCCATGTTTGCTTCATGTTAGTTTCCAATAGAAACTTTGGTTTTATGAATTCTTCTTGGTTTATAGATTTAGATATTTTATGTTTAAAATAGATATAGATTTTTATATTCTGTACAAACTTCCAGGTTATCTTTTTAAGTTGTAATTTGTCATAACACTTTAAGGGAGTGTTTTATTTTTAGATATTTTTCCTTTAAACAAAGCCAGTTTTGTGTATATAGTTTATACCGTTAATTTTAACATAAGTTTTGCTATTATAGTCATTTGAATTTTAGGGTTAGATATTTAAAGACTTTTAAAATCAAAAGAGTTGCAGCAATTTTCTCTTAATACTATTTAGTAGGTCTAAATAGTAGAGTGGTCTTTCCCTCTGTAAGGGTGCGGACCCGATTGTGTTGGTCCGCCCCCGGAGCCAGATGGATCCGGATGGATTCCTGAAAGCCCTGGGGGAATTCCCAGTTGATAAGGCTGGTGCTCCTGTCGATGCCCTGGTCGAACTATGGAATAGGGAAATGACTAGGGCTATTGACACGATCACTCCTAAGCGTCCTCTTCTGCCTGGCAGAGCCCGTTCATCCCCCTAGTATACACCTGAACTACAGGCGATGAAGTGGGTTGGGAGACATCTACAGCGTAGGTGGAGGAAAGCACGGGATGAATATGACCGAACACACTTGAGAGCTCATTATCGAACCTATGCTGCGGCGGTGAGGGCAGCAAAAAAGAAATTCTTCTCCACTTCCATTGCCTCCTCACAATGCCACAAGGCGGAGCTCTTTCGGGTGGTACAAGGACTGGTTCATCCAGGGCCCCAAGAAAGACCCCATGCCACCCTCGACAGCCCGCTGTGACGACTTTGCCAAGCATTTTAAGGAGAAAATCGCTCAGATTCGTCACAAGCTGGACTCCACTAGTGACTCAGAGCCTTCTGGGGAGGTGCTAATGTTGCCGTCTGGTCCAAAATTGATGGATGAGTTTCCATTGTTGCGGCCTGATGATGTGGACAAGGTGCTTGGACAAGTACGTCCCACCACCTGCTTATTGGACCCTTGCCCATCTTGGCTACATAACAAAGCCAAGCACGGGATAGGGGCCTGGATCCTGGAGGTTGTCAATGCCTCTCTGAGGGACGACTGGGTACCTGTCCCTTTAAAGGAGGCAGTAGTCCGGCCAGTCCTAAAGAAGGCATCCCTGGATCCAGAGATGGCCACCAATTATTGAACGGTGGCCAACATCCCATTCTTGGGCAAGATGTTAGAGCGGGTGGTGGCGGGACATCTCCAAGCACTCTTGGATGAGACTGATTATCTGGACCCATTTCAGTCTGGCTTCAGACCCGGGTATGGTACTGAATCTGCCTTGGTCACCCTGTATGATGACCTGTGCAGGGAAAGAGACGGGGGAGTGCGTCCCTGTTGGTCCTCCTGGACCTCTCAGCGGCTTTCGATACCATCGACCATGGTATCCTTCTGGATAGGCT